GTGGCTCTGTAACTTTTTCTGTATCCAGCCTCTTTCTTCAGAAAAGAAAAAAAATGAAAGTAGGCGTGGTGGCACACGCCTTTATCCCAGCACTCAGGAGGCAGAGGCAGGCAGATCTCTGAGTTCAAGGCCAGCCTGGTCTACAGAGTGAGTTCTAGGACAGCCAGTGCTACACAGAGAAACCCTGTCTGGGGAGTCGGGGAAGAAAAGGAGCAACTGGAACACGGAGGCTCTGACCACACTCAGCAACACTCAGGCTCACTGAGAACTGGGGCTCCGTGGGCCTTGAGGTTGCTCTTGTGTGTGTGTGTGTGTGTGTGTGTGTGTGTGTGTGTGTGTGTGTGTATGTGTGGTGTATTTGCATGTGTATGTCTGTGTGTATGTCTGTGTGTGTGTGTGTGTGTATGTGTGTGTGTATGTCTGTGTGTGTGTGTGTGTGTGTGTGTGTGTGTGTGTGTGTGTGTGTGTATACATGCTCAGGGCATGTAGGGTCAGGTCAAGGTGACCCTTCCCTGTACCAGGCAGTCCTATTCCCAGGTTGCCCATGCCAACAGAAATCACTCTCTCCCTTGAACTGTGGCCAGAAGAATCCTTCCAGATACCTGGGAGAAATGTCCCACTGTAACGACTACGTGCTTATACCCCACTCCAGCCCGGGGGGTTTGTCTGAGGTACAGCATGGAACAGGGGACTACGTCTCCCTCTGGAGCCAGCCACAGGCGGGACAGAACAGAAGACTGAGCAGCCCTTCTGAGGAGGAGTACAGGAGGTAAGAGCAGCCCTCTCAGGAGGACAGGGCCTCAGTCTCTCCATCTGTGGGGAGGCGAGAAGGGAGCACAGGGCTTGGCATTGGCTCTGGGTGCTTACCTGTGCAGCAGGAGGACCCACTCGCCCCTGCCCCTACTGTCCCTACCCCTGGGTGCTTACCTGTGCAGCAGGAGGACCCACTCGCCCCTGCCCCTACTGTCCCTACCCCTGGGTGCTTACCTGTGCAGCAGGAGGACCCACTCGCCCCTGCCCCTACTGTCCCTACCCCTGGGTGCTTACCTGTGCAGCAGGAGGACCCACTCGCCCCTGCCCCTACTGTCCCTACCTCTGGGTGCTTACCTGTGCAGCAGGAGGACCCACTCGCCCCTGCCCCTACTGTCCCTACCCCTGGGTGCTTACCTGCGCAGCAGGAGGACCCACTCACCCCTACTGTCCCTATCCCTGGGTGCTTACCACAGCATGCAGCTTGAGTGGCTCCCGAGCTGTGGTTGACATGGGGCTCAGGCTGGACTCCAGGGCCTGCACATAGGCTCTGGCAGCCCGCAGGCGCAGCAGGTAGAGGTCTGTCTGGAAGGTTCGGTGCATGGCTGCAGAGGGAAACATGAAGGCTGAATGGAGCAGTGGGAGGGGAGAGTACGCTTGTTCAGATCACGTGAGAAGAAAGGAGAAGGAAGACATGATAGGCAGGCAAGGCCTGCAGAAGCTGGGAATATAGGGATAAGGAGTGCCGTGCCATACTGGATGTTGTGGACCATACCCTATTTCCTCCTTATCTTGGTCTCCATCTCTGGTACCTTCTGTCCAGCCTTCAAGGCTGGTGTTCCCTGTTTCAAGGCTGGTCTTGACCTTGGTCTTCTCACCTACCATCTTGTTCTCTGGATAATATAGGACCTGCTCTGACTCTGGCCACCCCTAAGAACATCAGCTTCTAGCTCCTTAAGGATTTAAACCTGTTCCCATAGCCACATGTCAAGCTCCATATGTGTAGACATTGTTGTGTGGTGTGTCCCTAGCAGCTTGTGGGTGCCCAAGCCTGCCTCAGCTTTGAACTGCCTCATGGTCATCTTCATCTGAGGTCCCATCCACACCAAGTTCAACATAATGGAAACCAGCCTCACCCTGACTGGCTCACTGCACCTGTCCCACCCACTGTACCAGTCCCCAAGTCCCCTTGGTTCATCCCTTACCCCTAACCATTTGCCAAATGCATATGACCCCTCTTCAAATCCACCTCTAGAACCACAGCCCCCACTCTAATCGCTCTGGCGCTGATTTGTTTGTTTGTTTGTTTTTCCTGTTGTTTCTTGTTTTTTAGTCAAGGTCTCACTATGTAGCTGATCATGAACTTGATATCCCACCTTCCACCTCCCAAGTGATAGGATTATAAGTGTGTGCCACCACATCCATCATGAAGATAGTTTTATAATTTCCTTTACTAGCCTTTGTACATGTTTTCATTATATTTATTTCTAGGGATCTCTTTGCTATTGTGAATAGACTTTTTCCTGTCATATTTGCCAGTCAGAGATTATTGGTACATATAAAAAGCATCCAAGTTTTTCAATTTTTATTCATTTATTTTTAATGTGTATGAGTGTGCCTACATGTGGGTATGTGCATGTGAGTGCAGTGCCTGTAAAGGCCAGAAGAGGGCATCAGATCCACTGAAGAAGGCCTCAAGATAGTTGGAAGTGGCCAAGTGGGTGCTGGGAATCAAACCTGGGTCCTCTGGAAGAGCAGCCAGTGCTCTTAACTGCTGAGCCAGCTCTCCAGCCCAAGATTAAGAGACTTTGAGACTTTTATATCTAGTCACCTTATAGAACTTAACTCCCTACTGATTTTTTGACACTTTATACATTTACATACATATTTAGTTGTATTTTGTTTGGTTTGGTTTGCTTGTTTGTTTTTTGGTTTTTCATGACAGAGTTTCTCTGTCTAACAGTCCTGGCTGTCTTGGAACTCGCTTTGTAGACCAGGCTGGCCTTGAACTCACAGAGATCCACCTGCCTCTGCCTCTCAAGTGCTGAGATTAAAGGTGTGCACCACCACCACCTGGCTGTTTGGTTTGTTTTTGAGACAAGGTCTCACTATGTAACTCTCCCTGATCTCAGACTCATAGAGATCTACTGTCTCTGCCTCCCAAGTGCTGGGATTAAAGGTGTGTGCTATCATCATGCCCAGCAATATTTTTCACTCCTTTGTTTGTGCTCCAGCAGCCCTTGGAAGAAAGCATCTAGCACCCAACATGAAGTTAGCCGGACTGAGCTGCCTGGTATCATCATAGGTAACGAATGAATGGGTGAGCAGGAAAACTTAACAACAAGAACGCTGGTGAATTCTCCTTTTCTCTCGAGAATTCCTGCATCTGGAAGTAACTGCTGCCTCTGAATGCCAAGGGTCCCGACTCTCACTAACAGCACCCTCTGCTGTGAGGATCGGTTTGTTACCTGACGGCTATACCTCTGACCTTCCCTGTTGGCTGAGGTCTCTCCCATTCTCAAGGCCCCCAGTGGGAGTCTCTGTGTTCTTCCAGGAGTCTTACCCGTGCCGGCTTCCCGCTCTCGCAGGGTCTGGTCCACATACAGCCGGGTCTTCCGGGGCACGTTGAGTTTTGTGGTCTGTGCTAGTGGTGGGCCCATCTCACCTGTCCCTTCCACAAACACTGCTGTACGCTTCAGGATCTTGATGATAAGGCCACCACCTGAGAAGTGGGCAAGAGAAACATATCCATTCCCCTGTCCTACCCCACATTCCCATTCTTCTCAAAACAATTACATTCATGTCCATACATGTCTTGTCTTTCTTACAAGATTCACTTTCTAGAAGGAATGAAATATCTCAAGTCTGTCTTTTTTCTCCTGAGGAAGGGACCCATGTAGCTTAGGAAAGCCTTGAACTTCCCTCTGTGTTAAAACATGACCTTGACCACCTGATCCACCTGCCTCCACTTTCCCAGGTGCTGCTATTACAGCTGTGTGACAGCACATGTGGCTTCCAGCACTCTCCTATCACCAATTCATTCATTTCTTTAGTAGCTGTTTATGAAGTACTGTGATGTTCTTGGCACTATGGTGGATGCTGAGGGTGCTGGGTAAGCTGGAGAGGCACCGGCCTGACCAGGATTAGCTCCTAGGCAGAAATATCCAACTGCTGATAAGCTGATCCAACCTTACACAGAACATGTGCGCAGGCCTGGCTTTCCACCTGTTTCTATCCACAGCCCTCCTCCTTCCCCCCAGAATCTCATCTCTTCACCCCAGGCCCACCCCGTCCTTCCCAGAGTTCTCACCTCGAGTAGTCATGATGAGGGTGTTGTCCTCTCGCCCATATCGGCCAAAGCAAAGGCTGGTTACTGCATCCTATGTGGAGAAACCAGATTTTACCTGGGAAAACAGCTTGAGAAGGAGAGCAAGATGGCCGGAGGGGAGAGCCCAGATCAAAGTAAAAATGGGTGAGATGTGAAGAGAAGCTGTGGCAATGCTGCCTTGGAAATATTTCTTGGATTATCCATCTCCCTTCCAACCTCACCGGCCCTGCTAAGCTCCACATGAAACACCCCTAGCCCTTTTTGGAGTGGTCTTCTAATCAATCTCTTGGGCCATCTAGTCTGTGTCTCCATTGTGTCCTTGGCTGTCTCTACTGCCTTTCAAAACCACAACCCTCCAGTGGCTTTCGCTCCTCTTGGCAGGATATTTAAGATCCTCCACATCAGACTCCAATCTACCTTCCCCAGTTTTCTCCTGTATTCTCCTAACCCCCTACCCTCCCAGTACATCAGGCCCAAGCACTGCCTTCAGATTTTATGTCGTGCTCATACAACCACTTAGAATCTTGCATTAGGAAATGTTCACACGGGGCTGGTGAGATGGGTCAGAGGGTAAGAGCACTTACTGTGCAGATCTGACAACCTGCGTTCAATCCCAGGAACCCATGGGGGAAGGAGGGCTCATCCCTGTAACTTGTCCTCTTGTCCCCACAAGCTCACCCTGGCACATGCTCACATGGAATGTGTGTGTGTGTGTGTGTGTGTGAAAAGAGCCCTGGAACTGGAACTGGAGAGCTGGCTTAGCAGTTAAAGGCACTGGCTGCTTTACCAGAGGACCCACGTTAATTCCCAGCATCCACACGGTGGCCTGTAACTCCAGATTGAAGGGATCCTATGTCCTCTTCTGGCCTCCATGGGAACTATGAACTCACGGTGCACAGACATGCATGCAGGCAAACAGCCATACACACAAAATTATTTTAATTAAAAAAGATTCTAACTTGTTATCCAATACCAAGTAGTCAGCTCTGAACTCATATACATACTAAAATGAACTGATCAGATAATAAGTGTGTGTGTAAAATAATAACAACTAAAGAAAGAGAGGCCAAGCTGGGTGGCAGTGGTGCATGCCTTTAATTTCAGAACTCGGGAGGCAGAGGCAGGCAGATCTCTGTGAGTTCAAGGCCAGCCTGGTTTATAGATTGAGATCCAGGACAGGCACCAAAACTACACAGAGAAACCCTGTCTTGAAAAAAAAAAAAAGACAGGCCACAATTTTTTTGTTTGTTTTCGAGACAGGGTTTCTCTGTGTAGTTTTGGTGCCTGTCCTGGATCTCAATCTATAAACCAGGCTGGCCTTGAACTCACAGAGATCTGCCTACCTCTGCTTCCCAAGTGCTAGGATTAAAGGCATGTGCCACCACCGCCTGGCCTAAGAGAGGCCACAATTTTGAGAGGGAGCAAGGAGGATGGGTACATTAGAAGAGTTTGAGGGAGGAAAGGAAAAATGATATAATTATATTTTAATAATAATAATAAAGAGCAGGGCATAGTGGCACAGCTTTTTAATCCCAGCACTCAGGAGGCAAAGGCACGGAGAACTCTGTGAGTTAGTGGCCAACTTGGTCCACAGAGTGAGTTCCAGGTCAGCTAGACCCTGTCTCAAAAAAAAAAAAGAACTTTTATGCCCCTCAGCCTTTGTTCATGCTGTTCCTGGTCTAGAGTGCTCCTGACATTCACCCACTGGGCAAACTGATTTGCCACCTCTCCTGTGGCAACTGTACACATCATGATGGGTTCAACCAGTGTCTCTGAGACTTGTCCCTACGGGGTCAGGAGAGGCAGTGAAGAAGCAGGGCCAGATGGATGGGGGAGGGGCGGACGAGGCCCCACCCAAGCTAAGGAGCTATTGGAAGTCCATGGCTGCTGGAGGTAGGGAGTCATTTTCTTCAGGGGTGTAGCCACCGGTAAGTCGGTCATGGGTCAGTAAATACACTCACCCCATACACAAGCCAACAGTCCTAAGTAAAGCAAGTAGGTTAAAAAAAAAAAAAAAAGACGTGAAAGTTGGGGAAAAGAGTATCAGGGAGTGGGGAGTTAAAAGGGGAATGTGGGTGAATGAGATCAATTACATACATAAATAAAAATTATGAAAGGGAAAAAGGGCTGGGGTAAGAAGAGCCTGCAGCAGCGCTGGAGGAGTGCTCACAGGGGCATGGATGACGTTAAGCAGGGCCTTGTCACGGTAAATGCGGACTTCCCCATTGGCCAGGGCAGCCATGACAGCTTGCAGGCCCCGGGAACGCTGCTCCAGGAGGTTCATGGTCAGGATGGCTGCAGGCATCTGCACTGTCCACAGCTTCTTACCCTAGCAAGGAACAGCCAGTGTGTCTGCAGGGAGTTCAGGGCTTCAAGTGGAAAGAAAGGGCAGCCGGAGCAGAAGGGAAGGGAGAGCTCTGGGCTCACAGGGCAGATGGTGTGGAGGGGTGGGGGCTTGCCAGAGACCACACCTTGTGGGTGAAGCCATGCAGACTCTCCTGGGTGCTGCCCACCACCAGGGTCTTGTGTACCCGGACCAGCCCCACAGGCTGGGCACTCAACTCGATGCAATACTTGGGGTGTTTGGAGTCTCTGTGGAATAAACACACAATCTCTGCCCAGAGGAGCCTTGCCTCTAGCTCCCGGCTGACCCATCCCTTCTAAGCACTCCCAGATTAGCCTGAAAGCACCCCTGGTCCTGAGCAGATGATGGGATTATTTCTCCAACTCCCACTTTGTAGATGTGTGACCTTGGATAACACCAGGTGTTTTCCTACGCTGCCCTCCTGCCCTTCACAATGGTGACAAGTCTAACAGCTGGGATTTCAGAGTTGAGAATACATTTTCCTTAGAGCAGTCTAGCCAATGCTATTAGACCTGGGAAGTTTACTGGTTTATCAGAAAAGGATCTTTAGTTTTCCAGTCTCTCCATTTTAGTTTTCCTTTTCCAGAAGAAAGTGTTAATTCTTGATGAAAACCCTAATAGCTTCATTCACTTCCTTCTGGCCACAGCTTTAAGTCTATACCATGTGGCTGAACTCTGCCGCCTCCAGCGAAGCATCAGAATTATTTAAATAGACATACAAAGTCCATCTACTTTGTTTGAACGTGGAAGACCACTGTAGCAGCATTACTAATGAAAGTCACGTGGCCACCAAGTGACTAAGGTAAATACATCTACGTAGGTATTTACATATGTAAGTTCCTTTTCCAGAAATTACCCCAGGCTCCGACCCACTTTTCTTCAGGCCATCTAATGACTGTGGGTCTCCACTGGCTTCTGGGCTCTGCTCCAAGGCCGTTGCAGATTCCTGGGCTCTAGGAATTCTCCTTTCTTAGCCTTCCAAATGTTGGGACTGACTACAGGTGCACGGCCCTTCAAGTCACCCCCACAGATGATGTTTCTTCCCACGGAGGCTCCACTGCTCCTCAGTAAGCACCCATCTAACTTGCAATAGCTGTGATGCCTGTCCTCCCCAGGAAGGCAGGAACTGTGTTTACAGCATTCCATCACCTCCAACACTCTGGACACTGCTAAATGCATAGTAGATGCTCAATAAATGTCTTAGATTAAAAGACTGTCTGGAGCTGGGCAGTGGTGGCGCACGCCTTTAATCCCAGCACTTGGGAGGCAGAGCCAGGTGGATCTCTGTGAGTTTGAGGCCAGCCTGGGCTACACAGTGAGTTCCAGGAAAGGGTCCAAAACTATATGGAGAAACCCTGTCTTGAAAAGACAAAAACAAAAAGAAGACAAAACAAAAACACAAAAAAAAAACCCCACCAATATAACAAGCGCAAGGGATTGTATCTGTTTCCTCCACCTCTGATTGTACTGTTGTGTATTACAACCATTGTGCCAGGCTCTCACTTTGCCACCCTCCTCCTCCCCTCTACTCTCACCAGTTCAACCTCCTTTACGAATTCTTCTATCTTTTCAATCCCAAAGTCATCCCCCAAACCCCCTGATCATCTTGTAAGCCTCTGAAACCACCAGGTCTCTGAGGCCACAACTGTGGCTACCTTCTCAGGATATAGATGCTCCCATTTCGGCAGGCAGCAGTCAGCCGGAACTCCACATCAAACTGACCAGAAACCTCCAGGAAGACTGGGACACTGGGCAGGCTCATCTGCAGAGAAAAGGCTCCAAACATACTGATCATAGTTGGAAGAAAGTGTTAATTCTTGATGAAAATCCTAATAGCTTCGTTCACTTCCTTCTGGCCACAGCTTTAAGTCTATACCATGTGGCTGAACTCTGCCGCCTCCAGCGAAGCATCAGAATTACCTAAGTAGACACAAAATTTGTCTACTTTGTTTGAACATGGAAGACCGCTGTAGCAGCATTACTAATGAAAAACTTTCAAGTGGACAACATGTTGCAAGGTACATACATCTATATATGTATTCACATGTGCATCTACATAGAGAATGGCTGTATGGGGCCTTTAAAAGGGCTGATATGAAGCTGGGAGTGGTGTGATACACCATAATACCAACACTCGGGAGGTGGAGGCAGGAGGATCACAAGTTTAAGGCTATCCTGGACTACACTGAGAAACAAAAACGAAAACAAAAACAAAAAAAGCCAAGGATAAGACAAAAAGATTGATGTGGTTTTGTAAACACAGGGAGACACTGACATCACATGGTAATGTGAAAGAACAAATTGTTGGATTCTGCACACAAGCCTGTTTATCTCTGTACTGCTTATACTCAACATCACCTTAACAAAATCCGTGAGGAGTTTCAATTGAGGAACTACCTATATCAGGTTGGCCCGTGGGCAATTGTCTTGACTGTTAATTGAGGTGGCAAGGCACACCTTGAATTCACTGGTCAGGCTCTGAACTGTCTGAGTGAAGAAAGCCAGCTGAAGATTAAGCACAGGCAAGCAGACTCCATGGGCGTATTCCTTTGTCTCTGCCCTAGACTGTGGATGTCAAGCGGCCAGCTGCTTGAGTTCCCTGAAGTGATAAACTGGACCCTGGAGTTGTAATTCAATCAAACCCTTTCTTCCCCAAGTCGCTCCTGATCAGGGTATTTTACCACAGCAGCAATCATGAAACTCTGTATAAAATTAGAATGTTTGAATCAAGCTAGATAACCACGCCACACGTGAGAACATCCAGAAGGATCCACGCTAAAGCTTTTGTACTAGACCTAGTAGTAGTGAGCTCTCGCTTTCCTTCAGTGGATGGATACTACCCACGACTGAGAGAACGAGGAGGAGGATGCAGCCTGACCTTGTCCTGACACTGACCTTGGTCAAAATGGTGAAGGCCTCAGAGTCAAGCACTAGGAGCTCCTTGTTCTCAGTGCCCAGCACCAGACAGGACACTGCATCCTCATCTGCAAGGTTCTTCTTCAGGGTGGTCATGGTGGTGATGACTGTCTGCAGAAGGACTCCACCGTGGCCCCAGACACCCCCAGAGCAGAGGAGGGAAGGAAGAGGGCAAAAGAGGAGCAAGCATGAGGCGTGTCTGAATGTTAATCGCAAAAGTGTTTTTGCAACAGACCTAAATTCTCTTTTTCTTTTTGTTTTTTTCGAGACAAGGTTTTTCTCTGTAGCTTTGGAGCCTGTCTTGGATCTTGCTCTGTAGACCAGGCTGGCCTCGAACTCACAGAGATCCGCCTAGCTCTGCCTCCCGAGTGCTGGGATTAAAGGTGTGCACCACCACCGCCCAGCCAAACCTAAATTCTTAATAATGAGTTTTGTCACTAGGCGGTGAGATCCAGGACAGGCACCAAACGACATAGAGAAACCCTGTCTCCAAAACAAAACAAAACAAAACCAAAACAAACAAACAAACAAAAACCAATGAGGATTGTCTAAACCACTTATGAGCTATTCATATAGTCAAAACCAACATGGCCACACACTTAAGAGCTGAGTATGTGGCTCATACCTGTAATCCCAGCACTGGTGAAGCAGAGGCAGGAGGATTGCTGCATATTCAAAGTGAGCTTGGCTTATAAATCTAGTTCCCCAGTTCCAGACCAGTCAGAACAACCTAGCAAGACTTTGTCTCAAAAACTAAACAAAATAAAACTCATTAAACAACAACAAAAACATGTTTTGAAAGAAGATCCAAGCTGGCAGTGGTGGCAAATGCCTTCAATCCCAGCACTCAGGAGGCAGAGGCAGGCAGATCTCTGTAAGTTTGAGGCCAGCCTAGTCTACAGAGTGAGTTCCAGGACACCTAGGGCCACACAGAGAAACCCTGTAACCAAAATACAAAAACAAAAACAAAAAAAGCAACCAAACCAAACAAATGAAAGAAATCACAAATAACCAAACAATTAATGTTAAGAGTTCTCAAAGGCTATTTAAGGCTCAAAATATGGTGTTCGCAAAATGTTACTCAAGAGAAGCAGCATAAAAAAACAATCTGTGAAGGAAATGTACAGAAATGCTAAGAAGTGCGTGTCCCTAGGTAGTGGAATCATCTTTATATATCTCTTTATTTTCTGAGTATTCTGCAATAAGAATTATTATCTTTACTCTTTTTTTTTTTTTTTTTTTTTTTTTTTTTTTTTTTTTTTTTTTTTTGGTTTTTTTTTTTTTTCGAGACAGGGTTTCTCTGTGTAGCTTTGCGCCTTTCCTGGAACTCGCTTTGGAGACCAGGCTGGCCTCGAACTCACAGAGATCCGCCTGGCTCTGCCTCCCGAGTGCTGGGATTAAAGGCGTGCGCCACCACCGCCCGGCTCAATCTTTACTCTTAAGAAAATAAGTTTGGGGCTGGAGAGATGGCTCAGAGGTTAAGAGCACTGGCTGCTCTTCCAGACAACCTGAATTCAACTTCCAGCACCCACATGGTAGCTCACAACCATCTGTAATGAGATCTGGTGCCCTCTACTGGCCAGCAGGAATACATGTAAGCAGGACACTGTATACATAATAAATAAATAAATAAATAAATAAATAAATGAAAACAAGTTTGATAATTACTATCATGTCACAGCTGTTCATAGCCATCCCTGTTAACTGCAAATATAGAAGACACCCTGCTTTGAGACCCTAGACACGGAGTATGGCTGGAAGGAAATCTGCAGAGTGCCACTGGCCAGGTTCAGCGTTAGAATTAACTGCTGATGTTGCATGGTCTCTCTCTCTCTCTTTGTGTGAGTGTTTGGAGGTGGGGATATAGTTCTGTTGGTAAAATG